TCTGCCACTTTTTAAAGAAGTCCTTCACTTTCTCTATAGCATAGCATACTTCCTCCAGAGTACTTCATTTTATCATGTACTCTATATTTATCTCCCCACAAACTAGGTAAGAGTTCCTAAAAACCAAAAATAGATTAATATTAGTATTGTTAGATTAGGTACTAAGCTTTCTCTTACAAAAAAAGTTGATAGATAGAAAATAATTTAAGAGAGAATTTAAAGGTGGATCTAATTTCTTGTTTAGCCTGAGCAGTACGGGATGACTCTTTGACTTATGGTTCCTCTCTTTGTGACTGTAGAGTATGGAGAGTCTCCTGAGGGCCAAAGGCCTGCAAGTGGAACAGTTAACTACTACCTGTCAAAACCTCCAGTGGCTGAAAGAAGAAATGGAAACCAAATTTAGCCATTGGCAGAAGGAACAAGAGAGTATCATTCAGCAGTTACAGACATCTCTGCATGACAGGAACAAAGAAGTGGAGGCAAGACTTCAGTAAAAGACAGTTGGTTTAGTGGTTATGTAATCTCAGCCTTGGATTAGTCCTCTTGAGGTCTGGGAGGCCAGTGACCCATCTTTAATTCCATTCTGTGCCTGGGCAAGTCATTGACCTTCCCTGGGACTTTTTGTCACACCTGTAAACTTGAGGTAGCAATTATCTTTCTCAAAGAAGTCGTATGAGGATTAATGAGATCTAAAAAATACATCCATGATGTGATAGCTAACCTTTATTAGTCACAGGGTTCATGCTAGGTCAGGTACTGTTTTAAGAGCTTAGTGGATATTAACTCATTAATCCTTACAAATCTGTGAGTGAAGTTGTCCAATTAATTTCTTTCTATTTTTAGTAGAGACGGGGTCTCACTCTTGCTCAGGCTGGTCCCGAACTCCTGAGCTCAAACAATCCACCCACCTCGGCCTCCCAGACAGCTAGGATTACAGGCGTGAGCCACCGCGCCCGGCCCAATATAATAATTTCTATAGCAATTTTAAAAATGGCACATGCGGCTACTTTACATACCATTTTTTATGCCTTGACTCTGATGACTGTGTGGAAATTTTAGATTGCTTTAAAAAGGTAATATGTTTAATTTAGGAATTGAGAAAAGCCTTGCAGCAACTACAAGAAGAATTGCAGTCCAAGAGCCAACAGCTTCGTACCCTGGAGGCTGAAAAATGCAATGAGATCAGAACCCAGGAACAAAACATTCAGCACCTAAACCATAGTCTGAGTCACAAGGAGCAGCTGCTTCAGGTGAGTTGACACAATTTCAACAAAAACTGGGCTCACAGAGCTGTGAAATTTCTGTTCGTATAATCTCAAGATATTAATCCACCTATGTTCGGTACCTGCTATATGTAGAATGTTGAGAGGTGGGAATCAGGAGGATATAAGATAAATAGAAAACACAATTTGTGAATTAAAGTGCTAACCAATAATACATACAGACCTGAAAGATTTAAGCAGTAAATATTCAGAAAATAGTTATTAAGCATCTGTGTGAGACAGACACTATGCTGGGTGTTGAGAAGACAAAGAGATTTGCCCTCTGCTCTCAGTCTAGTAAGTGAAGACATTTGTACAGAAACTTCCACAGAGTAATATAGATGATAGGAAAGTTTTAGGGAAAATTGGGACACCAAGACTGTTCTACTACCTGTTGTGTGCCTCAGTCACATTGAATCCCTTACTTTTCATTGAATGTACAATTTTTTTCATAGTATGTATATATTGTACATAATTTTTTTTCTCTGACTGATTCACCCCTACCACTTTATTCTTCACTGGAGAAATCGACCTAGTCCTTTAAGGCTCAATGCCAAAGTGTTATCTCCTTTGTGAAGTATTTACTGACATCTTCAGGCAGAGTTAGGCAGCGCATCCTGTGTTTTCTAGTAGCTAGTATATGTTGCAGAATAGTTAACAATTTACATGTCTGTCTGTTATCTCTGCTAAACTTGTTCCTTTTGAGGAGAGTTATCACATTTTGTTTTTTATCCTAAATAACTAACAAATTACTTGGCAAAGTGTAGGAATTCATTTAATATTGGATAAATGGATAAAGGAAAATGTTTTTTGGTCATAGGAACTTCGGGAGCTCCTACAGTATCAAGGTAACTCAGACAAAACCCTTGAAGCAAATGAAATGCTGCTGGAGAAACTTCGGCAGCGAATACAAGATAGAGCTGTTGCTCTAGAGGTATGTCATGATTTTGCTCACGACACTATGGATTATTCTATCTACATGGGTATTATAGAAATTTGTGTCTACTTAATAGACATGATGCTTTTGGGATTTGGTTTTCCATTCCTCCATATTTTGAATCTTTTTGGATAAAGTGATCAGGATAGTGAATCTTATGGAGATTTAGGACCCTTACTTTCCTTGCAGCGAGCTATAGATGAAAAGTTCTCCGCTCTAGAAGAAAAAGAAAAAGAAGTGCGACAGGTTCATCTTGCTGTGAGAGAGCGAGATCATGACTTAGAGAGACTGCGGGGTGTCCTATCCTCCAATGAAGCTACCATGCAAGTAAGGGCAAACTCTGTCATTGATTTGGTATTCCTCTCCCACTTGTATTCTAAGCCTGAACCGTGGGGCCCTTCCATCATTTTCTGAAAACCCCAGGGTATTTGCTTTATAAGAGGGGAAAAAACCAAAGACAAACAAAAATAGCAGTCACTAATTCCATTGTTGTATATGAGAAAGTAAGAAATGTTAGCACTTCTGCTTTCTTTTATATTATGAACTTTGTAGGGGGAGGCAGTGAATATTGATTTATATTTACATAGTTCTAATTTATTTCTAATCCTTGTTCAGACATGTATATTAATATATATCAATACACACACATTTTTACATAAGCATTGTCAGGGTGCTTATGTAATTATTGTGTTTTCCT